CCCATTGTGTAGCTTTGTGCTTAATTACAAACAAACAAACTACACGGATAAATATAAAAACGTATTAAATAGAACTAGGTGTAAATAACTTAAGTCTACAAACGTATGTACAAAGTACCTGACAGATAATTGATGTAAGCTAGTTGTGATATTATTTATGTTGTAGAACGTAAATTGCCTCTAGTTCGTTAGGAAGGCATATTTCAAGAATAAAGAACAGAAAAATAAGACAAAGCTTAGCTATCAAATAGACAAGATACCTGCCACAGGACCTATCGATGTAACAGCGTGAACTTCGATGTAACGTACGTACTCTAGGATAAACAGCGGGAGAATGGTGAACTGCACTCTCCTGGATTGTCACGTGCTCGCGCGGACACAGGGAGCGGAAATACGAAAAAAACAGTGCCGCTGATGTAATCATAGCACCACAAATCCCAAGACAATGTACGGTATCTGTTCGTAAACGTAGGTTGTTTACAAAGCACAAAGACGATGATAAAAACACTCTGACATGAAGTGAAGGAGATGGCGGAGGTTTTCCACACCTATACGAACTATTCGTTGTGAGAGGCCCTACAGAAGATTAAATGCTATATGCTATCGAGAGCAACCAATAGTTGGTGTAGCAAGAAAACGAACGCCAATGGCATTTTCTTCCTGCATTAGAAAGAGAATCTTTATTCTGAAGCTGCTTACAGAAGCAGGAGACAGCCTAATGGCGTGTCGTTCTTTGAGGCCGCACAGTTCCGGATCTTGCTGCACTCTTGTATTCTTCGAGTTACTACTCGATCGAGTGCCTGTGGAAATGTTTGGTGATTTAAATTTAATTTCAAGTCTTGCACGGGGAGAAAGATCTTAAATGAAACGTTTTAGTTGTAAAACGAGAGTTTACTTTAAAAAAAAACAAAAAAAACGTCGACTTGTGAAGCAACTCGTATCTGTGCAGTTCTCTCACGAATACCACCCACCCCCCAGATACACGACGAACTGAGCATCTCTTCGCGCTGACTCCAGTAGGAATAGAATACCCTATAATCAATCTTTCGTGGAATGCGTCCAACAGGACTCAGGCGTGTACGAAACTGACAAACACGCTGAAATTGAGGTATTCATCCGAGGAATTGGCGTTTACGCGTGTAATGTACGTTCATCTCTTAATTCAAAAAAAGTAATTATCGTTGTTACAAATACATGAAAGTTGTATAATCACTGGTGTAGAAACAGTAACTTTAATAGGTTATTATCCAGTTTCCATTGCATATATAATCTATTATAACCACATTTATATGAATTACCCAGAGAAGAAATAAAGAAACAAGTGTTTAATACATTTATAGTAAGGGTAATTTTAGAATCTATAAACAAGTGTTTAATACACTTATAGTAAGGGTAATTCTAGAATCTATAAACAAGTGTTTAATACACTTATAGTAAGGGCAATTCTAGAATCTATAAAAGTTCGTATGTAATAAATAATCCAAAAAATGATCAAACGTTTGGTGAAACATCGTGTTATTTTGGATTGAATTTTTAGATACGGTTCTCAATAGTTTACCTATAACAAAAGCACTTATTAAATTTATTAAAGTGAAAATTACGATGTTGAGAAATAATACATTGCTTTGACTATTAGAATGAAAACGATCGGTAATGTAGGAACTCGTCCCCCCAGTGGTACAGCGTAATGTCTGCGGAATGTTGAGAAATAATACATTGCTTTGACTATTAAAATGAAAACAATCGGTAATGTAAGAACTCGTCCCCCCAGTGGTACAGCGGAATGTCTGCGGACTTACAACGTTAGAAACCGGGTTTCGATACCCGTGGTGAGCATAGTACAGATACCTCATTGTGTAGCTTTGTGCTTAACTTCAAACAACAACAACCAAAGGAACTCAGAGTTTCGTTTTCATAAAATACAACTGACACTTAGCAAAACTGGAATCTCACCTCCAGATTAACGTCTAGTACAAGCGTGACTTGAACTTCTTAAACAAATCCTTTGTTTTAGATCTCTGTCCAATAAAAGAGTCAATTAATAACTGGGAATTAATAAAAGCATAAGCCTTAAATTGTATCCTTTGCTAACTTCCTTAAACACTCTAATAAGCATGGAGTAGGAGTAGATGCAGAGCACTTATCCTTTTGATAAAATGTTCCGTCTTCAATTAAATTGATTAAATTTTCAAGGCTTAGTTTTGCTTCTGGAAATCAAGTACAATGTAAATGCGAGTTTGCATAAAATATAAAAGGTTCAGATTTCTTCTATAAAATAATTTAATATTCAATTCCTAAATACTTCAGATCTAGCCGTAAATCTCTGAGTTTTTCAATAGTTATTGTTTTAATCGTCGCAATTATCTTCTTTTCCCATTGAGTCCTAGAAAGTGGGCGTTAACCACAAAAACTTATCTCAATAAGGCAGAGGTTGACCCTGTGATAGAACTCTGAATTTCAGAAGTGGCGGGCTAAGTTGGAGTCCGAGTGATATCACAGACTATTCCATGTTCATTAGTTCAGCCCATTCAATTCATTAATTTAACCAATTAATAAATTACTTTAGGCCAGTTTGATGTATATAACAATGACATTCAACCCCTTAGCATGAATGGTAAGTAGTAGGCTGGCTATCTTCTCTCTGGTCAGTAGTTTAAATTCAAAGGCCAAATTTCGCACGGATTAAAGTTAATATCTTAAATTCAATGAAAGTCCCACCGTTTCTATTAGGTACACTTAAATAAAATACGAGCGGCCATCAGCTTTAATTTACCGTTTTCTTCGCATGACCGAGTGAAACGATTATGTGACGTAATTCTTGTTTGTTTGAAGTTAAGCACAAATCTACACAATGGACTATCTGTGCTCTACCAATCACTGGTATCGAAACCCGGTTTCTAGTGTTGTAAGTCCGCAAACATACCGCTGTCTTCAGTTTGTGGTGACGGGTGTTGCTGATTGTCTGCCCTCCCTCTGGTCAATAGTTCAAGATAAGGGACGGCTATATCCAAACTCTAGGTGTCTCTGACCTGACTGTTTAACCCACCTGCGTATAAGACGTCGTTCAAGTTCCAGTTCCACTGTAAAATATTATTTCTTTTATAGGTGCTTACGAAGGTTCGTACCGTTCAATATAGTCTTTATCAAGTTCGTAAATAACAGATTTGCATTGCACCAGCAGTCCCTAAGTTTGAACTGATAGACTAGAGGGAAAGCAGCTAGTCAAGAGCATCCGCCAACTCTTAAACTACTCTAATCGATTTACTCTACAGGATTTCACCGTCACTCTTATAACGCACATACGGTCGCAAAGTGTGGAGCGCGATTTGGCAGCGACGGGACGCTAAACACGAAGCCTCGCCAAGCTCTTACTCTCGTAGTAGGCCTCCTTCGGCAAGGTTTGACCATGGATGAGCATCCGTCCATTGTTAGCTCATGTTGATCGCTCGTCTAGAGCAGCGTCTCTTGTGACTAAGGAGACCGACACGAGAGTGACAGTTCCGGTTGCAGAGGTCACATATGTGCGTTGACGCTGGTCTGTTTGCTGCCTTGTAAGCCTGGGCATTCTGATATGGGGGACAGGCTCTTACTCTAATACAGGTTTAAAGGACTTGTTCAGGTATTAAGATGCCCTTTTACTAGAATAATATTTCATTTTGAGGAAATCTAATACACTTTGCAATTCTTTCAATGCACAGATATACCCCTTCCACTGACAGATATACCCCACTTCCACTGACACATGTATCTCACTTCCACTGACAGATGTACCCCACCTCCACTGACACATGTACCCCACTTCCACTGACAGATGTACCCTACTTCCACTGACAGACGTACCCCACTTCCACTGACAGATGTACCCTACGTCTACTGACAGATGTACCACAC